GACTTAGTAAAAATTCTGTCAACTACCATCTGCGTGAGCTTGGAAGCAGATTTAATCCCCAGAAGATGCAACATCTACCAACACCTTGATAGCAGCCTTGTAAGAGTCCCAGAGCCAGAGACCCAGCTACGCCAAGCCCAGATTCCTGACCCACAGAAAAAGTGAGATCTTAATAATAACAAATGTTGTTTTAGGCTGTTAACAAAACAACCCAAGTCAAGAAAAACAAGTTAAACCCAACATAAAAAGAAGGAAGGAAATAAAGAGCGAAACTGATGAAACAGAAGAGTCAACCAATACAGAAAATAAAACCAAAAACTGGGTTCTTAAAAAAGATCAGTGAAAATGTACAGCTAACAAAGACTGACTGCTTTCCTTTAAGGCAAGAATGAGGGATGCTATGTTCTCTATCAGGATTATAGTGGAGGTCTTAAATTTTACATTAAGGCAAGAAATAAAGTAAAAGTCATTCAGCAAACTGAAACAATATTCACAGATGATGTGATCATGCACGTAAAAAATCTCTACAGAATTTTAAAAACGAATAACATAGCAATGTCCTAAGTTACAAAGTCAATATGTAAAGTATTTTATATATTGACAAGAAAAAATATCATTTATAGTAGCAAAGAAAAATAGGATACATTTAAAATACACATGCACTATATAGTTTGATTTTGGGTGGTGGGCACATAATGCGATAAACAGATCTTGTATCATGGAAATGTATACCTGAAACTTATATAATTCTATTAACCAATGTCACCCCAATAAAATTTTTAAAAATAAAAATATAATTTAAAAATATACATTCAAAACCTATACACTAAAAATTACAAAATAGCATTAGAAGAAATTAGAGAGACCTAAAATATTGAGATATTCTATTTCATAGAAGACTCAATTTGGCTGAAATGTCAATTTCCCCCTAAATGACCTCTATATTCCAGTCATTATCCAGAGGAGCTTATTTTAAATTTTTAAATGAAATTCAAATGACTTAGCATAGTTGAAACAATTTTGATAAAGAAAAACAAAGTTGAAGGACCTACAGTATATTTGATTTTTAAAAATATTATAAACCCACTGTTATAAAGACAGTGTAATATTAACATAAGAATAAACAAAGAGATCAACGGATAAGAACACAATGTATAGAAACAGACCCACTCACATATCGTGAATTGATTTTCAAATAATCCTGCCAAACTAAATGAATGGCCATCTGGAAACGTGATTCTCCACCTCTATCACAGTCCATATACAAAAATAAACCTAAGAAAAGGTGGCTGGTTTGACAGCGATTAGAGCATCAACCCGCAGACTTAAGGTCGAGGGTTCAATCCCCGGCCCTGGACTAGGCGTGGAGACAACCAATGGATATATCTTTCTCTCTCTCTCCCACTCCCTCCCTCCTTTCCAATCTAAAAAAAAAAAAAAGTCAATAGAAAAATATACTTGGGCCCTGGCCAGTTTGGCTCAGTGGTTGGAGCATAAGCCTGCAGATCACAGAGTCCTGGGTTCAGTTCCCGCTAGGGGCACATACCAAGAAAAAGAAAAAGAAAATATACTTGGGTGAGGATTTACAAACAGAAAAATATATATAAAAGCTAAAGTACAAGGCTTCTTAAAGAAAATAAAAGAGTATGTTCATATACTTTGGCTAAGAAGATTTCTTAGAAAAGACATAGAAAGCCATACAAAAAATATATATATATATGTCAAAGTCAAATTCTTTTACTTATCAAAAGACAACATTATGAACACAAAAGTCACAGACCAAGAGAAAATATTCACAACTGTACATATATCTAAAAAAGGACTTATACTCTGGCCAGTGTGGCTCAGTTGGCTGAGCGGAATCCCATGCACCAAAAGGTCACTGGTTTGATTCAGGGCACACACATGCCCAGGTTTCAGGCTCAATCCCCAGTAGGACGTATGCATGAGGCAGCCTATCAATGTTTCTCCACCCCACCCCCCGACCTTTCCTCTCCCTTCCTGTCCATCTAAAAAATCAATATAAACATTTTTGTAAAGGACTTATATTCTGAATATATAAAGGATCCTTACAACTCAATAATAAAGATAACATAAACCGGGACTTTCGGTCAAGATGACGGAGTAGGTAAACGTGGTATCACGTCCTCCCACAACCACATCAAAGTTACAACTAAACTACAGAACAACCATCATTCAAAACCGCCTGAAATCATCCTGAATGGAAGTCCTACAACTACAGAATTAAAGTAGCAGCCACATCCAGACTGGAGGGGCGGAGGGGCGGAGGGGCGGAGGGGCGGAGGGGCGGAGGGGCGGAGGGGCGGAGGGGCGGAGGGGCGGAGGGGCGGAGGGGCGGAGGGGCGGAGGGGCGGAGGGGCGGAGGGGCGGAGGGGCGGAGGGCAGGTGGCCAGACAGGCTGGTCCCACACCCACATGTGGCAGATAAAAATCAAGAGGATACCTCAGCTGGGAAGGTCCTTCCTGAGGACTGAGGGGGTCCCCGTCCCACACCAGGTGCCCCGCTCAGGGTTCCAGTGCCAGGAAGAGAATCCCCATAACTTCTGGCTGGAAAAACCAGCGGGAACTGAGGCCCAGGGAAGCCGACGCGGCTGGAGCCCCAGGCAGCTCCTTAAAGGGCCCGTGCACAGACTTATCGGACTCTCTCCCTCTAAGCTTGGAGGGGAGGCCGCTGGAGGGGCACCAGAGACATACAGGGAAGAACTGAGCTGTTTGGCACTGGAGCAAGGGCTGGAGAGGGGGCTTTCTCCAGGACAAACGTGCTGTCAGAGGCCTTTGTTCTTTGGTGAGCCCTTCCCTGGGGCAGCAGACAGCCGCCATATCTGGGACTCCAGCAACCAGGCTCACACTGGTAGCCCCGCCCTGGTGACTCCCTGAGGCCCCGCCCCACCCCACCCCACCCCACCCCACCCAACTTTCAGGTCCACCCAAGCTTCACCATAGGATTGGCCTGTCTTGGACCCTGCTTCCGGATTTTTCCTAAATTCTTTCAAACGAGCAGCATCTGGTCTCAGCTAGCCCCATACCGCTCGTTAAGTAATACACAGAAACAAACACAGGGAGGCAGCCAAAATGAGGAGACAAAGAAACAGGTCCCAAATGAAGGAACAGAACAAAACCCCAAGAAAAGAACTAAGTGAAATGGAGATAAGCAACCTAACAGATGCTGAGTTCAAAATACTGCTTATAAGGATGCTCAATGAACTTAGTGAGGGCCTCAAGAGCATAAAAAAAAACCAGTCAGAAATTATGGATGCACAGTCAGAAATGAAGGAGGCATTAACTGAAATAAAGAATAATTTACACAGCTTCAATACTAGAGTATGTAAATCCAAGAAGCAAACCAACTAAGTGAAATGGAGATAAGCAACCTAACAGATGCTGAGTTCAAAATACTGCTTATAAGGATGCTCAATGAACTTAGTGAGGGCCTCAAGAGCATAAAAAAGGACCAGTCAGAAATTATGGATGCACAGTCAGAAATGAAGGAGGCATTAACTGAAATAAAGAATAATTTACACAGCTTCAATACTAGAGTATGTAAATCCAAGAAGCAAACCATCGATTTGGAATATAAGGAAGCAAAAAACGCCCAATCAGAACAGCAAAAGAGAGAGAACAAGAAATTGAAAACCTGTTTGAGACAATAATGGCAGAAAACTTTCCTAACTTGGTGAAGGAAACAGACATAGAAGTCCAGGAAGCACAGAGAGTCTCAAACAAGATGAACCCCAAGAGGACCACATCAAGACACATCATCATCAAAATGCAAAAGGTTCAAGACAAAGAGAGAATCTTAAAAGCAGCAAGAGAAAGGCAGCTAGTCACCTACAAGGGAGTTCCCATTAGGCTGTCAGCTGATTTCTCAAAAGAAACTTTGCAGGCCAGAAGGGAGTGGCAAGAAATATTCAGAGTGATGAAAACCAAGAACCTACAACCAAGATTATTCTATCCTGCAAAGCTGTCATTTAGAATCGATGGCCATATAAAGACTTTCCCAGACAAGAAAAAGTTAAAGGAGTTCACCACCAAACCGTTATTATATGAAATGATGAAGGGTCTTTTTGAAGAAAAAGATAAAATATATGAACAAACAAAATGGCAATACATATCTATCAATAATGGAATCTACAAACAAAATGAACAGGTAGAATAGAAACATTTTCATAGATACAGAGAACATTTTGTTGGTTGCCAGATGGAAGGGGGGTTGGGGAAATGGGTGAGGTGAAGAGATTAAGAAGTACAAATTCATTGCTAGACTGACAAACCTCAAAGGGAAAGGGGTTGGGGGGGTGGGAAGAAATAAACCAAAGAACTTATATGCATAACCAATGGACACAGACAATCGTGTGGGAAAAGGAGGGAGGGGGCGGGAGTGGGTCGATGGGGGAAAAATGTGGAACATCTGTAATACATTTTACATTCAACAATAAAGATTTAATAAAAAAATAAAAAAAAGATAACATAAACCCTATTTCGAAGACCAGCTAAGACTGCCAGGTCAGGTCCGGCTGGTCTGGCTCAGTGGTTGAGTGTCGACCCATGCAGCAAGAGGTTGCGGGTTCCATTTCCAGTCAGAACACGTGCCCAGGTTGTAGGCCAAATCCCCAGTGGGGGGCATGCAGGAGGCAGCCAATCGATGTTCTCTCTCATTGATGTTTCTTTCTCTCTCCCTGTCTGTTCCTCTCTCTCTAAAAATCAATTAAGAAAACAAAAACAAAAATAAAATAAAAAGAAAAATAAGACTGCCAGGTCAGTTAAATGAGCTTGAAAGTTGTTACTTGTATCCTTACAAAAGAAAAACACCGAACAAACTAAAAAATTACTATTCTAGGATCCAGAGAATGAAAGTCATAGAGCAAATTCATTCTCCCTTTTAAATTGCCTAATTATATATACAAATCAAAGTTGATTTCAGTTCATGTTGTGTTCTTTTCCCTATTGCAATAGTTATTACTAATTAAAATCTGTCCTTACCCTCTTAACTAGTGTCTGGCTTTATCTTTGATACCACCATATCACAGGTCTCCAGTATAATAGCAACGGATTACAGCTGAAAAGAGCTGCAAGGTTCAGACTCTATATAAGAAGGGAGAAAGATAAAAGCACAATACATGAATTTGAAATCTCTGACACCTACAGCTACAGCAAGCATTAAACACACAGCCCAACTCCTAGCCAGATTAACATAAACCTGCACACTAAAGGCCTTTTGCCTCAGTTCTTATTTGTTGATACATCATTGAGGGTTTCAACAAAAACTACAAGGCATGTTAAAAGGCAAGAATAAACATAGACTAAAGAGATAAAACAAGCATCAGAACCAGACTTAAATAAGACACAGACTTTGGAATTATCAGACTGGTTTATAACCATGATCATCAATATGTTAATGAATGTAATAGAAAAGGTAGATGTTTAACATTTAAAGATGGGTTATGTAAGCAGAGGGATGAAAAATCTAAATAACAATAAAAAGGGTATGTTAGAGATAAAATAAACACTATAATAAACCTCAGCATATTATTCAAACTTCAGAAAACTAAAGACAGAGAGAAAAATCTTGACAAAAACAGCTTACCTATAGAGGAATATAACATCTTACCTAAAGAGGAATATAGATAAGAATTATAAATGTTTCTTTCTCATCAGAAACCATACAAGCAGGAAGAAAATGGAGTAAAATATTTAAAGTTAATGTTAAGGGAGAAAAAAACAGTCCACTCACCTAGAATTCTATATAAAAAGTATACTTCAAAAGTAAAGGAGAAAAAAAAAGAAACATAAAAAAAAAAAAAGGAATAAAGAGTTTCTCAGACAAAAACCATGAGAATTTATTGTCAGTAGACCCATTCTGCAAGAAATGTTTAAAAAAGATTTTTCTTTGGGAAGTAGCAAAATTATATAAATAAAAAACTGGATCTACTTAAGAAAAGAAAGATGGTTGGAAAGAAATAAATGAAGGTAAAATAAAATATTTTATACTTATTTTTAGGTGATCTAAAAGATAACTTTAGCCCTGGGTGGTTTGGTTCAGCAGTTTGAGCCTCAGCTGGTAGACCAAAGAGTTGCTGGTTCGATTTCCAGTCAGGGGCATGTACCTCGGTTGTGGGTTTGATCCCTGGCCCCGGTCTTGGTCGGGGTCATGGTGGAGGCAACCAATTGATGTCTCTCTCTTATACCGATATTTCTCTTCCTCTTTCTCTGTCCCTCCCTCCCAATCTAAAAAAAAAAGGAAAAGTATCCTCAGGTAAGGATTTAAAAAAAAATAACAACTTATACTTAATGTAATAATAGTAACAACGTATTGGGTGATTACTGCATATGATTAAATTAAATGAAGAATAACAATGTCATAAAGGACAAGGAGAAATTGGGAATGCTCTATTTACCTACACTGTACATAAAGCAATATAGTGTTATTTCTCAAAAGTGGATTTAAATGAGTTGTAACTGTACACTGCAACCACTAAAATGTACGGGACAATCACTAAAAAATGTTTAAAGGAAGTATAATTAATATGCTGAGAGAATAAACAAAAATCATATAAAATATTCAATTAAAACCAGAGAAGGCAAAAAAAAGAGAGGAAGATGACAAAAACAAAGAAAAGTCAAGAAATAGAAAAGTTATGTAAAAGGTAAATAGTAATCCAACTGAATTAATCATCCCCTGAAGTGTGAATGGTCTACATATACTAACTAAAAGACAGATTGTCTGGAAGGATTAAAAAGAGCTAATGCCCGGGCGGTGTGGCTCAGTGGTTGGGCATCGACCCATGCACCAAGAAGTTGCTGGTTTGATTCCCGGTCAGGGCACATGCCTAGGTTGTGGGCCCGATCCCCAGTGGGGGGCTGTGTAGGAGGCAGCTAACTGATGTTCTCTCTCATGGATGTTTCTCTCTCTCCCCACCCCCTCTCTAATATCAATAAAGAAAAAAAGGAGAAATAAAAACGAAAAAAGACCTAACTATATATATGTTGTACACAGGAAACCTATTTTAAAAAAATAGTTAAAAGACTTACCAACATTCACAAAATATGGTAAGTGAATGGCTAATAATCACATGAAAAGGTACAAGCACATGAAAGGGTATGAATCACCACCAGTCATCAGGCAAATGCAAATTCTAGTTAAATCCACTAGAATGGCTAAAGTAAAGACTGGCAATATCAAGAATGAGCAAGGATGTGAGGCAACCTGAACTCTATACAAAGCTGGTTAGAATGTAAAGTGGTACATTTTGCAGAACAGTTTGACATTTTCTTAACATACCTAGATTCAATTCTACTCTTAAGCATGGTGTACAATGAAACATACATCTACCCAAAGGCACACACAAATGTTTATAAGTAGCTTTAATACTAAGAGTTAAAATCTGGTAAGAACCCAAAAGGCCTCTGGGACAACTTCAACCGTGCCAACATTCGCATCTTGGGGGTGCCATAAGAAGAGAACAAGAAACTGAAAACCTGTTTGAGACAATAATGGCAGAAAACTTTCCTAACTTGGTGAAGGAAACAGACATACAAGTCCAGGAAGCACAGAGAGTCCCAAACAAGATGAACCCCAAGAGGCCCACACCAACACACATCATCATCAAAATGCAAAAGGTTCAAGACAAAGAGAGAATCTTAAAAGCAGCAAGAGAAAGGCAGCTAGTCACCTACAAGGGAGTTCCCATTAGGCTGTCAGCTGATTTCTCAAAAGAAACTTTGCAGGCCAGAAGGGAGTGGCAAGAAATATTCAGAGTGATGAAAACCAAGAACCTATAACCAAGAACCTACAACCAAGATTACTCTATCCTGCAAAGCTGTCATTTAGAATCGATGGACATATAAAAACTTTCCCAGACAAGAAAAAATTAAAGGAGTTCATCATTACCAAACCGTTATTATATGAAATGATGAAGGGTCTTTTTGAAGAAAAAGATAAAATATATGAACAAACAAAATGGCAATGAATACATATCTATCAACAATGAGATCTACAAACAAAATGAACAAGTAGAACCGAAACATTCTCATAGATATAGAGAACATTTTGTTGGTTGCCAGATGGGAGGGGGGTTGGGGGAATGGGTGAAAAAGGTGAAGGAATTAAGAAGTACAAAGTGGTTGCTAGACTGACAAACCTCAAAGGGAAGGGGTGTTGGAGAGTAGGAAGAAATAAACCAAAGAACTTATATGCATACACGCATACCCAATGGACACAGACAACAGTGTGGGAAAAGGCAGGAGGTGGTGAGAATGGGAAGGAGGGGGTCTATGGGGGGGATAAATGAGGAACATCTGTAATACATTCAACAATAAAGATAAAAAAATAAAAATAAAATAAAATAAAATAAAATAAAAATCATTTTGCTGAGTACAAGAAGCCATACATCAAAAAGCACATACTACAAACATGCATACATGAAGTATGAACACAGCAGGTCCTTCAACAATATTGTTTCATTCAACACTGTTTCATTGTAACATTGATGAGGAAAAAAAGTAAGACTCCCAGCAATGGACACTGTCTGTGTGGAGTTTGCACATTCTCCCTGTGTGTTCTGCCCATGTCCATGTGGGTTTTCTCTCCCAGCATTCCAGTTGCCTCCCACACTCCAAAGCTATGCAGGTGAGGCAAACTGGTGTGTCCACACTGTCCCAGTCTAAGTGAGAGTGGGTACATGATGCACCCTTCGCTGGAAGGGGGCTCTGTCCAGTGTTGGTTCCTGCCTTGAACCCTAAACTGCCAGGATAGGCTTCAGCCATCTAAAACACTGGACTGAAACAAGAAAGCTGAAAAATAATTATCTTATTTGCTTTTATTAATCTTTCTTAAGTGTACGTTTAGCTCAGATTTATTTCAATGCCTAATATTAGAAGTGTTTTAGGTCTTTATTTATAAGTTTGGTGATGTTTCTATGATCAGAAATATGCCATAGGAACTTAACTCTTGTTTACATAAATTAGTCTATGGTAAAATTTGTTTTATTATATGTCATTTTTCTTAAAGTTAGTTTCCAAGAACCTATAGATGACATTTACTGAGGACTTACTGTATTTTATTCCATTTATATAAAGTTCAGAAATAGGCAAAATTAATCTATGGTGATAGAAATCAGAATAGTTGCCTACACTGAATCTGGAAAAAGGAAACAAGAAACTTTTTGGAGTGATGCTATGTCTTCATTGGAGAGCAGGAAGCACAGGTGGATACATTTGTCAAAATTTATGCTGTACCCGTAAAACCTGTGCATTTCACTCTATGTAAATTATACTCAGTTTAAGAGTAAAAAGGTTTCCAGCAAAGGCCTTCTGTATCTTCTATAGTTTCAGCATAGCAGTGGGCAAACTTTTTCTATAAGGGTCCAAAAAATATTTTAGGCTTTGTGGCCATATGGTCTCTGTTACAGCTACTCATCTCTGTCACTGAATAGTAAAAGGAGCCATACACTAAGAAAGTGAATGAGCATGGCTGTATTCCAATAAAACTATTTACAAAACAGGTGGCAAGTTGGATTTGGTTTATAGGCTGCACTTTGCTAACCCCTGGTCAAGCAAATAGAAAATCAATCTTCAAAATTACTTAAATATGCTGTATTGTTCTTTACTATATAGTGACGGGCGTAATTATTAGAAGCCAATTATAGCCCTTCTTACACATCTGAGTTTTCCTATACTAATCAACTCACTTAAAATAACCCAGAAAAATATTAAAGCATGTTTAATATGGAAGATCATCATTTAAAAAATAATTTGTTTTAATACCTACTATATTATTTTGAAAACAATAACCAGGAGTGTGAGATATTTGAATTTAAGATAAACTAGCTGATAGTAATTAAAGTATAAGTAGGAAAGTGAAAATACACATAGGTACACACACATAAAGGGATGTTACCCACACTGCTGACACTTTGATTTATCTGGTATAATAAAAGTTCTTGAAACATGCCCAGTATTACTCATAATCTGCTGGATGGTTCTCCATTTAAAATAATTTTGAAAATAAGAATAGCAATTACTTTTCACTGTTTCAAAAATCATTTCAAAATATAACACAGTAGGAAATAAGTATTTCATGAGAAATACCAAAACCTACCTACCTACCTTCCTTCCTTTTCTTTTTTTGCCTAATTTAAACAAGGCTCAAAAATTGATAGCCTGAACATACCACAAAATACCTAGGGTATACAAGTAGGTATAAGTAAATCTTAAACATGCTATGGCCCTAAACTGAC